AAAGATGTAGCGCCAGCCTCGCTCCAAACAGTGATTTGTGCCGTCTCCTGCACTGCAAGTCCGAAGGATCACACGTAGGCTTAACTAGCTCAGATTAAAGATGTTGACAGATAAGTAGAACTATTTTACAGACAGTAAAAGACTCACCTCAACCTTTGAACTACGCAAGTGCAGCTGACGGCACTGCTTTTAGCTCTCAGGTTATACTAAACAGTGATCCGTTCTATCTTGTTGTTTATTTCATAGACAGTTATTTATTTATAAATTATGCCAGTAAAGTGAAAAGCGCTTATGGTGAATAAAGACTGCAATCATCTTTCATAAGCATCTGAAACGACAAACTTCTCCACTATTTCACGTTAAGATAGATCGACCAGTATATTTGTACAATATCTCCTGGAGACTGCGATAATATCAATTTTAATCTTCAGCATCCTGTTTTCCTTAGAAGGGAACCATACCAAATAAACAAATGAACCCCCTCCTTTAGTTTACCTCAACGTCCGCGATATATCCTATCAGCACACACGCGATATATCCTATCAGCACACGACCACCATTACAGAGGAAACACACGAACCACTTAAATAACAGTACCTGTGCTCGTCACTATAACTTAAACGTGTCGTACGATTAGCAAGACTAAATGACTGCTGTGAGACAGCCACAGAACATTAGTAAAAGGAATATTAATAGACAGCAACCTAAGGTGTCGATAAAAAACACAAACAAAAAATACTTGTTTGGTAAATCTTTCAACACATTCCAGGTAGACAAAATATTAAAAGTAATCTCAACTTTGTTACATTTACTAAGCAGAAGTACTTTATTTTAACCCAAAAATAATCCTTTCACTATTTACAGTTCCTAAACGACATCTTCTGTTCAACAATTCTTCCATCTCCCTCGAGTTCCCGCAAATGTCGGATAGGAACGGCTTGATATCGTCAAAGTTCCATTTCTGACGCAACGAAAATAGTAATTCTAACCTTAAATATGCACAAGTAAACGACAAGTGCAGAAAAAAAACAATTCTAAGATTACTACGAAATGTATTTATAGCAAACTTGTAAAACAATAATAAAGAGGCAAAGTGATTTACTTATACTCAGAAACTTATTCTGAGAAAAGTAGCCAACCTTTCCATTTCATTTTCTGGAAGCTCCTCTACATTTAAATAACGAATTGTCTTCCCTCTTGTCAGCTCTTCATCCACTAACGTCAAACCTTCCAAATATTCGCTCTGAAAGTTCAAGTGCCTAAGCATAAACAATTATTGATCCATGCAGTTCAAGTAACTTTAAAAATGGAAAATGCTGGTGATCACTAGCCACTTTCTAACCACCATTTAGAAATTAAACTGATGAAAGCAGAATATGAGTAATAACCATCTAGGGAATTAAAATAAGTGTCATCCAACCTTTAGTTCAACCCCTTCAGGAAGTAATTGCTTCATTAGGTTCTCAAAATTAGTGAGCTCAAATCGGACAGCTGCACGAAGAAGCTGTGATGCCTTTGAACGACAAATAGCACGCTCATCTATCGTATATACCTCATTACCATCTAAACTGTAAAACTAATCAAAGAAGAAGTTCACTAGATCAAACTCAGAGCTTAACAGAAAAAACCTAAACCACTAACCTTTTTCCACTACGTTACAGTGACTTCTAACAAACCATTTCACCGCCTCCATTGGTATTATTCGGTCTGGTTCTCTACTTCTTAAAGCGTTGTAAAATGCTAGCACGCCAACAGAACTGAGTGAAATGTCAGCTTCATCGTCGTCATCCAAAAGTTCTATTAACTCTGTCAAGAGTCTGTCTCGAAACTCTGATGACAGGAAGCGTAAAAAACCTAAATTCTTATGTAAAGGTCATAAAAGCGCTCGCTGTTCAATTAGCAAGGTGAAATAAATGAAGAACAAAAATTATTAGATAAAGCTTGTTCAGAAACTGGACATGGGAGAGAGGAAAATAATGCAAACTTCTACAATTGAGAGCAAAAATAATACAACCACCGTTATGTTCTATGACAGGCAAGCGTTCAAGAGCGTCTTTAAGCTCGCATTCGCTCATCTGAATGATGTTCAACAAATCAGAGAAAGTGTAGCTAAAAATTGTGTTAACGTTAAATTTTTCTGAGAAATTAAAAGATTGAAATGCTGCCATTTTCCACTAATACTTTGACAGATTGAAATCTTTAAAAAGCGTTATGTAGCGTATTTATGAAACTGAAGTCAGCATCAACAAACGTAGAAATGATGTTTACACTAAATTTCAGAATTCTCAAAAAACAAAAGTCCTAGTCACTAACCATTGGTTGAAAACATGGAACTTCCCAAACCCCGACGCTCACTTTAGTAATACTTGTCTGTCACTTATTAGCCTGTAACGTTATTTGTTGCGAAAACCTTAAGGCAAAACGCTAACCAGTTTTTCTCAACTTGCTCCATATTTTCTGACTTAGTCCATTCAAATTCGTTTTCGTGTAACAATTCTTTGAGTTTGCCCGTAAAAACCGATTTTACTTCAGCCAATTCTAAATACCTCGTTTCCATGGCCTGTACCTAAAAACAGATTTCATTTATCAAAAAGAACTTGGTGAATGTATTATGGATGTTTCTTACCTGCCTTAATTTCAACCGCTTTTCCCCCTCTGAAGCCTCTTGAGAAAAATTAAGCTCTGGAAGCAACAATAAAGTATTTGAAGTTTCAGCTTCTACTACTGAGTAAGTTTTATTCTTGGTACAAAGAACTGGAAAATCATCAAGCCGACCTCGGAAGACCAATCTGAAAAAAAAAAAAAAAAAAAAAAAAAAAA